AATTCAAGATTAAATGAGAACTCAACCGGACAGACTACTTACCCTTGTCCACCTCCCCCCTCTCCTAGCTCAGTAGAGAACCTGAAATACTTTTCTATCAAGCTAGGTAAGATAAAAATTTCACTTTATCATCATTTTCTCTGTTACACTTTAGTCTCATCTCTTTTATTTCTGAAAGACCCATAGCTTGTACTTACAAGAAAACTGGAACATACTTTTCTATCAAGCTAGTTTGAAATGGAAATAACCTGGTTCCAGAATTGTTCTCTCCAGACAACTTTTTGGTTATCAATCCTCTCTCATCTCTATTGAAAGTCAAGAGTCCACAAGACTTTTACAAGTGGGCATCCAACTCCTGATTCAGCCTCTCATTGTAAGTCAGTACTGAATTCAGGTCAGCTCCTATCATTTCACATAAGTTGAATTAGATTCTGAAGCAAAGACCAATGTGAAAAATTTTGAAACTGAAGATAGAATTTATTTCTTATAAGTATTTTTATTAATAAATAAATAATTATGATTCTGATAATTATGATAAAAGATGAAATTAGCACTCTTTTTACCTGAAGGGAGAAAGTATCTGATAATATGATTAAACAGAATAATAGCTGCTTTTTAAGTTGGAAATTTTTCTTTTCAATAAGAATTTTGGTCTCAGATAAATTACTCCCTAAAATTGGAGAATCAACTCCCAAATTTCAGGGATGTTGGGAGGATCACCTGGGAGCCAACCCAGGATATCCTCCCCCCAAGTTTTTTCCCCAACAGTTTGGGAGTTGATCCTCCAAAAAATTCATGGGGGTCGGGAGTTGGTGAGAAACACCACAGAGCAGCGGATGAGCAATGAGTCTAGAAGAGGACCAAAGAATGAAGGACAATGAGAAGGAGTGAGACAAAGAAGAGACTATGCACCTGAGAAAAACCATGGAGCAGCGGATGAGCAAGGAGGCTAGAAGAAGACCGACGAAGGGAGGACGATGAGAAGGAGTGAGATGAAGAAGAGACTATGCACCCAACGGTGTGCAGAGGATAAGGCAAGCAATGATGAGTGTTCATTGAAT